CCCCAAAACCCCAAAACCCCAAAACCCCAAAACCCCAAAACCCCAACTAGATTTAATAATATTTGTAAGTATTATAAACATGAGTATAAATTCAGAATTTCGTAAGAAGTCACTCGGTTTGGAACACTTCAACTGGACTGTCTCACTTAAAAGGAGCTATTAAATTTGTAGCTTTTTGTCATAGATATTCTCTTCAGTTTCAGACCCTTTGATATTCCTCACAAACTTACTATCTGGGTTATAATTTATACTATTTCTGGAATCCTCACCTAGATTTAGAAATGAAAGGGTATCCTGCAAGCTATGTTGATGTAGAAGGTACAGATATTTCTCTTACAATTTAGGTAACTTTAAATCTCAAGATGAAGAAGCAGAGGGAGAAGATAGGTCATCTTTTGAAAATGACGCCAGAGAACCACTCTTGTTGGCTGCAGAGGTAAATTTTCACCCAGATTGTAAATTTTGCCTCAAAATAGCACTAGAGAGCTTATATGCTTGGATTTGTCTTTTCGTTCAACAATTTAGTTATTTGCTGCAATTCTGATGATTTTTAATATTATCCAAACCTGACAATTCTGATATTTTTCTAGGAAGATAGCAAAAGTATGCCGTAGAAAAATAATTATAGAAAAAGAGAAGAAAGGATGCTACAGGAGATTACTTCAATGTATTGGGTTTGGCAAATCAAAACCTGTATGTTTACCAATCTGACTAGTATAGGACCGTCATCTAAATCTTAACGGACAGACTATCCCAAAGAGGTTTGCTAATAACAAGATTAGGAATCAAAAGTACTACGTGCTCACATTTGTACCAGTTGTGTTGATAAATCAGTTCAAGTTTTTCTTTAATTTGTTCTTCTTGCTAATAGCTGTAAGCCAGTTCGTCCCATTCTTAAGAGTCGGTAAGTCTCCAGATTTCTGATGGTCTAGGGTTCCTGTTTACCTACATTGCACCGCTTGCATTCGTCCTTTTGATCACAATGATGAAAGAAGCCTATGATGACTTCCAAAGGTACAGAAGAGATAAAGAAATCAATGAGAAACAGTATGAAAAACTTCAAGGAGATGGTCAATTCGGGTTCATTAAAAGTGAAAAAATCAAGGTAGGAGATATTGTTAAAGTTAACCAAAACGAGAGAATTCCAGCAGATATGGTGCTTCTTTATACCACTAAGCATGAAAGCTCCAATATTTTTATTAGAACAGACCAGCTTGATGGTGAGACTGACTGGAAATTAAGGAAATCCATTACTTTTACTCAAGAATTCCATCATCATGGTGGAAATTTGATTCAACTTTGTGAAGCGAAAGTCATTTCTGAGCCTCCAAGTGCTTTGATTTATAACTTCAAAGGAAAATTCTGAAGGGATCAAGATAATGACACAGACTCTGATGAAAGACTGACCCTCGAAAATACTCTTTGGTCTAATACAGTTCTTGCCTCGAGTGGGTATATCCTTGGGTTAGTAATCTACACTGGGAATGAGACTAGGGCGCAGATGAACTCAAAGAATCCAAATTCAAAGGTTGGCTTACTCGACCTGGAGCTAAATTTCCTCTCAAAGCTCCTTTTTGTATTGATGGTTTTGCTAGCTCTGACAATCGTAATTTCAGATGGATTTCATGCAAATTGGTACATTTATTTATTCAGATTTGTGTTATTACTATCAAGTATTATCCCAATCAGTCTGAGGGTAAACTTGGATATGGCTAAGATATATTACTCATGGGGGATAGCAAAAGACGTTGAAATCAAGGGAACCATTCCTCGCAATAGTACTATCCCAGAAGAACTTGGTCGAATTCAGTATCTTTTGAGTGACAAGACAGGCACGCTTACCAAGAACGAAATGGATTTCAAGAAATTAGCCACTGAGTTCTCCACCTTCACTGTTGATGACCTTGATGATATCAGGAATATAATTGAGAAAAACTGCCATGATGAGGATTCACCAGCCAAAGATCTTTACAGGGCACTGTACCCCACTGAAGAAGATCTTGACTTGACCAAGACTGGATCTAAAGGGAAATCAAACACAATGAGGAGGAAGAAAAGGCGAGATTTGAACTACTCCATTCGTGACCTTGCCACTGCGCTAGCTATCTGCCACAACGTAACCCCTGTGCATAACAACGAAGGAGAAAGAGAGCTGCAAGCTTCCTCTCCTGATGAAGTAGCTTTAGTGAAGTTCGTCGAAAGCCTCGGCTACTCTCTTGAAAGAAGAGACCAGAAAGAAATAATCATTAAGAACAAGATTGGTGTTATGGAGGAATTTGAGATTCTGGAGTGCTTCCCATTCTCAAGTGACACTAAGCGTATGGGCATCGTCGTAAAGTACAAGAAGAACGGGCTGATCCTGTTCTTCTGCAAAGGCGCAGAAGTTGTCATGAAGGACAAGGTCAAACCCCAGCAAAGATCTGACTTGTTGGAGAAATGAGAGATCCTTGCCATGGAAGGACTCAGGACACTTGTTATCGGCCAGAAAGTCCTCTCTATTGATGAATATGAAACTTGGACTAATAGGTATAGGAAGGCACTGAACGACTATGATAGAGGAGACTACTTAGCCGCCAAGGTTAGGGACGAACTAGAGACAAACCTCGATTGCTTGGGAGTCACTGGAGTCGAAGACAAGCTCCAAGATGATGTAGAGAAAACAATCGGAAGTCTACGTGGCGCTGGGATCCAAATCTGGATGCTCACTGGTGACAAGGTAGAAACAGCTACATGTATAAGCATCTCTACTGGGCTAAAGAGCCGCTCTCAGCCTCATTTCTTCATGAAGGAGATAGATAACCTTAACGAGGCTGAGTTCCGTCTGAAAGAGCTTGAACGGAATGTTGAAAACTCCTGATTCATGATTGACGGTAATACTCTTGATGTATGTATGAGTAACAAAAATACTGAAGAGACCTTCTTTGAGATAGCCTGCAAAGCCCCTGTTGTCTGTGTTTGTAGGTGTTCGCCAACACAGAAAGCGATCATTACTAGGAAAGTCAGGAAATATACAGGCAAGAGAGTTGCCTGAGTCGGTGATGGAGGTAATGATGTGGGCATGATTTTGGAGTCAAATGTGGGTATTGGTATTGTTGGTAAAGAAGGAAAGCAGGCTTCACTTGCAGGTGATTTCTCTATCAACCAATTTTCCTTCCTCACAAGGCTAATTCTCTGGCATGGAAGACTGTCATATAAGAGATCAGCCCTCTTATCGCAATTTGTGATTCACAGAGGGCTGATAATCTCTGTAATGCAAGCTGTATTCTCCTTGGTCTTCTACCACGTCTCTATTCCTATCTATAACGGATTTTTGATGCTAGGATACTCCACAGTGTACACTTCTCTACCTGTTTTCTCAATTGTGCTCGATAAAGACACAGGGGTCCAGCAGGCGCTGGACTACCCTCCTCTTTACAAGACTCTTCAGAAAGGAAGGTCACTGTCATTTAAGACATTTTTGATATGGGTTTGGAAGAGTATCTTCCAGGGCGGATTCATCATGTTCTGATGCATTGCCCTCTTCAATGATTCCTTTGCAAATCTGGTGACGATTACCTTCAGTTCTCTGATTATCGTCGAGTTATTGAATGTATATTCTTTCGTAAACAGGTTTAATTGGAAGATGGGTGTAGCAAGCTTGTTAACACTATTGATATACATAATCACAATTTACAGTTTCAGAGGGTACTTTGACACAAGCTATATCAATGGAACCTTCTTATGGAAGATCTTTGCACTGACCTTTGCATCATGGTTGCCATTGCATGCTTACAAGGTGATCTATGAATGCTTCGACCCACCAGAACAGAAGAAGATCTTGTCTGGAAAATCATATAGGTAAATCTTAGTTGCAGCCATCATCTAGAATTTTAGTAATTTCTGATAAATAAGGGGTTTTGGGGTTTTGGGGTTTTGGGG